TTTTTTTTTTTATTGAACAAGCGTTGAGATTATGCATACAATTCAATGAAGGGTTAACTTGCTGCTTATTACTTCATGCAAATTTTTCAGCGAGAGGAAGAACTTCTCGAGCGGCTCGCATTTTATGAAGGAGCCGCAGAAGAGGAGGGTGAAGCGTTGGAGCCGGCACCTGCGGAGCTGGAAATAGATGAGGAAGAGGCTGCCTGGGCCCCTCTTCCTGACGAAGATGGCGAGTGGATGCTCGAGGAAGAGCATCCGGAACCTGCCGAAGAAAGCTCCGCAATGCCGGCTTCCCCTATGGAAGTCGATGAGGACGCAGAACCGGAGCAAGGTGTGCGAGAATTAGTCCTGTAAGTATTTATGCTTTGATAAAAATTTTAAATTATTTTAATATAAATGTTCAAATAGTCTATATTCTTTTGATAATGCATGTGAGATATTTTTGTGAAATAAGTTTGTGCTACGTTACAGAAGAAACAGGACGATAATAATACCGGTTCCTGCGACACCAGAAGCCGTAGGCGAAGAAATGGCACCGGAGGCCTTCCAAGTTGGAATTGTGGAAGGTCTCCCAGAGCAATTCAGACAAGAATTAAGGGAGCCCGAGAACAACGCCTACGAGGTAGTAATGGATGGAAACCAAAGTTCCATTAGTAAGTGATTATTGCCTTTTAGAAATGTAACAGATGAGAAAAATCATTAAAAATGTCTATAATATGAGCTTCTCATGTAAAACAAAAGTATAAAATCTATTAAAATAATTTATTTTCAGTTTGTGGCTTTTGCGGGCGCCGGTTTGAGACGCTTAAAGGCTGGCGCATTCACGCTACAAGGATGCACAAGCAGGACGGTAAGTACTGAAATTCAGATATTTGCCATTTTTTTACAGTAGTATAAAATGTTCTAAATTAATCTATGATTGTTCATCATGATCGATATAATAATTGCTTTCAGGTTTTTGTACTGCATGTGGCCACATTTTGACCCTCCCTCCCACAGCCACGGCTGCTCAGAAACAAGCAGCTGTGGAATTACACATTTCCGACTGGTGCCCAAGGGCACGAAAGTCAATAGTTGACGAGAGGAGGGTCAAGCGTCGTCGACTAGAATTAGCAGGAAAGGATGACTTGGCCCAGAACATCCACATACCAAGTAAGACAATTTATTTATTTACGCAAATTATTTTGAAATGTTTGTAACGTACTTAATATAGTAGTATTCACATTAAAATTGTGTCATACCAAAATTTGCATCCATTTCAGATTGAATTTAAATAGTATGGAGAGATGCAGTCCGCTGGCGACGCTGCCACTCCTGCACCATTGACGCTGAACAGCTGCTACCCTCAGACAGTACCTGCAAAAATGCCGCAGAGGACTCATTTTTGGAATTAATTTTAACTAATGTAAAGTTTTGTTTTGACTGGTTAGTTTTATTGTTAAATGTTGTTTGATTTATGTTTTTAAGAGTTTGTAATTACTATTATGTAAGTATAACTTTGTTTTCTATTTCGTTCTTTGTATCTGTCTTTTTTCTTTCTTTGTACTTATTGAATTGTTTCGATTATTGTAAGATTATTGTATATATGTTTATATATGATTCATCTTTTTTTGTTGTTTCTCATCCTCTTTTTTCTTTATTCGAGAAAAGCCTTTTGTTGTTTGAATTAACTAATTACAAGGATTTTAGGATTTTCAGGCAATTTACTTCCAAGCACGAAAAAGCAGTAAATTTTAATTAGAAAGTTTCATTACTGGTACGTAATAGTTACGATTATATCCGTAAATGTTTTTAGGAAATTTTTTACTGCTTGTTTGAAATCGTGGGAACATCAGAACTACAGGGAGGTTAGGTAAAAAAGTTCTTTTCTTATTAGATAATTTAATGACTATTGTAATGAGGTCACAGTTAATAAAAATTTGATAGATTAAAATCTAGGCTTTTTAACTTAGAAATTCTAGGGCAGTACCGGTTATTTGTAATAATTTTTATTCTTTTTTAGTCTTTATAAAAAGTGCATGTAAGGGATAAGTAACGGATTAGGTATCGCAAAATATCTATGAAAAACTGCCTGCAGCTAGACTTTATAGATACCTCGAAATTCATGCCTTAAGGTTGCTTTTTTTGTCGGAATTAATTTTCAGTATTTCGAGCGATGAAGAATCAATTGAACAGAATGCACGAGTAGAAGGTATCTGGAATCAATTTTATGTTCGCGGTTTGTGTTTCAAATTACATCTTCAGTTTTTAATTGTTAATTTTATCTTTTTTCAAATTTCATTTGTCTGCAGCTTGCACTTAGCAATACTTTCTTATCATATCCGTTCAGTATTGCTTATTAGACTTATTATATAATTCTTTAGTTATATATATATAAAAATTCAATCACATAATAAAAATTATATATACAGATAAATGGTCAAATATATAAATAAAATAAACATTTAGAGGTAAAAATATAAAAGTAAATGAGTATGATGATTAATTAATATCATTTATTAACAGCAAATTTATAAGGTTCAGTTACAAGTTATAATTTCGAGTTTCTTACATAATATATTCCAGGATTGGAAACATCAGAAAGAGCATTTGGTTCTTAACTCTATATAAACGCACAAATGGATCTTCAGGTGCTAGCTGCTAACTGCAATATTTTGACAGTTCGTCAGTGGTTTTATCGCAGAAGGTCGTACGCCCTCAACATCAGGTCTCAGATTCAGAAATCAACGATGGTAACATTTTTATTTGTTGTATTTTTTGTAACGATAGGTACCATCAAACATTACTAACATATTAATGTAGAATATATTACTATGATACCGTCGTTAAATAAAAATAAATCGTTTTAGTATATTTTACGATAGGTACCATCAAAAAATTCATTATTATGTCAATATTACTAACATTCTTTTGTTAAATAGTAATCACAACAAAAATATTACGTCCAAGAACCTACCACACCTATTTTTTGTTAGTTCAACATAATAAAATAAACTTAATAAGTGATTTATTACGGGGGCACTCTGCAAACATTTTGCAATTTATTATCTTAATTCATTCATTATCTCAATTCACCAATTTTGGTTAAGACCCTCATAAATTATGATAATACTTTTTTTCAGTTTCAAATAAATCAGTTATGATAAAGTGAAAAACTATTTCTGCATTGTATTTCTTTGAAAAAATTTTTTTATTTATATCATTATTCCAATTATATTTGCGGAAAAATCGATCTCTCGATCACAGTAATAATGGTAGTATTGATTGCATAATCATTCAGTAGAAAAGAAAAATTACCATCAAAATTACTGTCTTCGACAATGTTAGTTATTGTTTGAAATGAATAAATATTTCTTATGTTGATCCTTCAGGTTCTGCCTCTTTTCGCGCTATTCATACCACTATTGTGTTGTTCCTTTTCGACTCGAGCTTCAGGTAGCCACTTTAATTCAAGTATTAAAGTATTTTAATGAAAAGCACTGGTTTAGGATTAAATTTACGAACTTTGGAAATCTTTTTAGAAATTTATCAGATAAAAATCAGATAAGAAGTTTATGAGATCAAAAGTTCCGATAGGTACATATTCTGACATTTGACGAAATGCTTCTTTTATTAACTATTTAATTACTGAATTTTTTTCTCAAAAATATAGTGATATAGTAATCAATTTTTGTTTGAAATACAGCAACCAATTCGTGAAAATAAACTTTATAAACAGAATGCAGGTACTAAAACTACTTTTTGATCTTTTTGTCCTGATTTTCCTTTAACAAAAAAGTATCAGATTAAAATTTCAGGCAGAGAAATCACCTCGAGCGTGGTTAGAGAACGGAAAACAGTGGAATGTATAGATGATGCAATTTTAAACGCATTTCTGCGCAAAAAATTCATCGATAAGCTTATAAGCTTGAAGAAAGCATCATGGAATAAAAGTTCAAAACACATCTTGGAACATAGTAAAGGTAAAGTTTTATTTAAGAAATATTACAAAAATGATAAAAATGTGATGGTAAGAACTGTTGATATGAAAACAGAGATTGTATGTATTAAAATGTGTGAACAGCGTAATCGAGCTCAACTTTTTCTTGCAGTTTAAGCTCAGACTAAATTTGAGTTAAAAAAAATTTCATGCTGTTTGTTCAGATTCAATTTACGCCAAAAAATATAATAACAGTTTTAGAGATAGAAAATTTGTCAGTGAAGTAATATTGATGCCTTAAAGATAGTTTATTAATCAAAAACTGGCAAATGCAAAGGAGTAATGATTTAAAATTAAGACAAAATTCAATGAAAAGTAATTGAATTAAATCAATTTCTTTTTTAGATTACTCTCTCGTTATCGTTAGTCTAGAGCATTCATGAATGATGTTTAGAAACTATGCTTATATATTTCCCACTTATGGTAATTCTTATTTTATTCACATTTGTCGTAGAATTTATTAACATTGTGGTAGATTTTATTCAGCATGATTGTGATTAAATATTTAGAGGGATTTTGATATTTCGTTGTATAACTTACTCTCACGGAAAGACGAAAACTAGCAGAGAGATATCGATTATCTGAAGATTTTTTTGTGTTGAGCATCCAACATGATGGTCAGGAACTCAAGGCCACGCATATTCGAGCAAACGCCTGTCACAGTCACACAGAACTTCATGTACGCTCGAAATGGCTAGCTGCAGTTAAAGAAAGTATGCAAATTTAAGAAATTTCTAAATTTTGAATTTATTTTCAAAATAAAATCACTTAATTTCTATACGTCCTTTTTCTTGTTCTATCGAATTTTTACTACCTCAAAAGTATCGTTCTGACTGCATCAATCTTTTTAGAACGCCTAAGTATAGCGAAAATTCAAATTAAATTATTGCAAAGCAAAGAGAAACATATTGCAGCCTTAGCTCTACATTCCTAGTCATACTGAGTAAAGAATATCCATCTTTAATGACACAAATTTTTTCATCTATTATGATTTGTAGCAAATGTAATTCCTGTAACATTTACACACAATGAAAATATACAATTTTGTTTTCATTTTATTACTGTGTTTATGGTCATTATTATAATTAATAATATTTATAAAAACAAATAATAATAATAACAATAATCAATAATTATAAAAATAGTCAATGATAATAACAATGATAATTAATAATGATAACTTATAATGATAATATTAACAGCAATAATAATTAATAATAATAATAGTAATAATAATTGATAATAATAAAGAATATATATAAAAATAAATAACAAATATAATAAAAATTATTATTGTAATAATCAATAATAATAATGATAATAATAATAACATTCTATAATAACAAAAGTGATAGTTAACAACAACAATACATAATAGTAATAATAATTAATTATTAATATAACAAT